CAGAAATTTTGAAAGACGAAATGTCGGTGCCAGGATCATGCTGGGCAGAAGAAGAAGTAGAAGTCGGGCGTCTTGGAGCAGCAGCGATGGTGGGTACAGCAGAACAGGCAGCAGTAACATATCCGCAATAGCAGCAGCAATCACGTCGGTAGTAGCATTAGCAATTGATATGGCTAAAGAAACACCCGGAACAAGCATTTCACTATTCATAGGGGCAGCAAGTGAACGCGAAGATGAAGCGCTCTCACCAAGTGACACCGCGACAGGTGTAGCAAATGCTTCAACGATAGGATTAGGGAAAGCCGATGTAGAAGGTGAAGCACAATTTGTGTTGTTATCCGGGATTGTAAGTATGTTAGGCTGGGATATAGTCAAGTTTCGTTTCTTCCTTTTAGGAGACTCGGGCAGTAGCCAAGAAACGTCGTTTCCAGCGCTACAAATTTTTCGTGGAAAACTTGAAACTCGGCATGAAGTTCTTTTATGCTTTTTTGCGTCTGCTTCATAAACTGACGCATTTCGGTAGCAATACTACGACATTTTTCACAAAACCAGATTAAGCCGTTGTTTTTGCCTCAGTAGTCAGTTACCCGGCCAACGAACCCGGCACATTTCGCGTGACCGTTGGTCGCACAACCAGCACTGCACTGTAGGGTCCATTGAACCAAGCTTATGGCCAAACTCACAGGACTTTAAACAGCAAGAAAACATTATGGTCCGTTTTTGTTAGAGCCTAAACGTACGCTATGAAAAAAACAATGTTTGTTGAATGTTATCCGCCTATAAACATTCATCTATATATATAAAACAGTTTGTCCTGACTGACTGACTGACTGACTGACTGATTGGTGATCTAAGCAACAGCCCAAACGGTAAAGGCTAGGAAGCTGAAATTTGGGCTTAAGTATCCTTTCATAGTCTAGATGCCCACTAAGAAAACACTTTGGAAAACTTGAGCTCCAAAGGGGGGAAAACAGGCTCCAACGTTTGTATGAAAAATCTACAGTTTTCATCTGATTAACTTCAAACTTAGTTTGTATACTCAGAACAATTCCAAGAAAAACTGTATACTTGGTATTTTTATATTTTTTTGGGGCCTAAAATATGGGAGTTTTCCTGTAAAAAAATGTTGGGGCACAAAAGCAAACCGCGTCAACAGCCCACAGCCCACACGGTAAAAGCTAGGATGCTGAAATTTGGGCTCAAGTATCCTATCATGGTGTAGATGAGCACTAAGAAGGGATTTTGGAAAATTCGAGCTCCAAAGGGGGGAAAGTAGCTCCAAAGTTTGTTTGAAAAATCCGCATTTTTCAACCGATCGACTTAAAACTTAGATTCTAAAATCAATTAAAGAATACAAACAAAACTGCATAGTCGGATTTTCGAAATTTGTGTTGGAGCTTGAATTATTGGGGTTTTAATATTTATTCAATATTTCAAATGAAAAGTTTGTGTTATAAATTTAGTCCGATCGATTTAAAATTTGGGTAATGTAATCTACGTAACTAAATCTACAACTTTGCATTCAAGGATTTTCAAAATATGCATTTTACAAAAGCAGGCAGAACAAACAATACAAAATATCAAACAGTTGGGGACAACTAAGTATACATACACACACATACAAACAGCTGTTCGTTTAGTTGCATGCAAACGATTGAAATAGCCAAAGCAAAATGTGAGACACTAATGTGTGAATGTCCATACAGATGTGCACATCTATGTATGTACATATGTATCTACATATGTATGTATGTACATTCGTCTTGCACTGACAGAGCAAGAAATGTTAATTACTTGAAAATTATATAATATAACATTTTTAAAAGTAATTTTTTCTTTGTTTAGTGCATTTGGCATTAGTGTTTTCATTAATAACTTTATGCAGCAACAACAAATATCAAATAGTTGGGGACATCACATACACACACTCACACACAACAAGCAACAGTTCGTGTCTATGTGTGCGGTTCTCTACGTACGGTTGAAAAAGTAAAGAGAAACATATGTACATATGTATGTATGCCTGTGTATGAATATAGCATGTATGTACATTCGTATTAATGTATACATTGGGCAATCGAACACAGTTGTTTGATTGTAAAAAAAAAATAATGCTCTAAAAACAACAACAACTGCAAGTCATTAGCTCGCTCTTCTTCTTTCGTTTTGACCATTTAATGTTAATTGCAAAGGCAAAACGCCAAAATGTTACAGTTACCGTCGCTAGACAACGACTGCGTAAGCGATAGTAAAGCAGAAACCGAATAACGGAGCTACGCATATTCTACTTCGCATTGCGGGCAGATGTATGTATGTATATGATTTTTTCGTATTGATCTCAATAAATAATTAGATTTCATTATTTAAATATTCTTCTTATTGCATTCAAATTTTGATGGTATCGGTGCCCGTGGTTTTTGATCGTGGCTCATCGCTGCACGGCATTGACACGAGTGCCGTGTTTCATATTCCGAGTTTGTGCGTGGCCGTATTGACTCAATATGACACGAAAAGACTCAAATGTGAATTTAAATTTGGACTCAAGTATCCTTTCATAGTATCCATCATAGTGTAGGAGCACACTAAGAAAGGCTTTTGGAAATTTCTAGCTCCAAAGGGGGGAAAACGAGCTTTAAAAAATATTAGTTATAGTGGTCATGTTCGTTTAACGAAATAGTTTGTCAAGAACAAAAATGTCACGGACTACTGAACAATTTTTTGTCAAGAACAGAAAATGTTCATTTAAATACCTTAAATGCCTTACAACTGGTAACTTATAAGGTGAAAACATATGGGTAGGTTATGCACACACAAAATAAATACAATTGGAAACATTATATTGACCCGGGTTAAGACGGGCAATACCTGCTAGTAGAAAATAAAAAAATTAGAGAAAACAAGAGAGAACGCTACAGTCGAGCAAGCCCGACAGTGTAATACCCTGTACCCAGGTAAACTTCCGTCACTGAGTTATATGCGCCCAAAGCAGCAGCAAAAAGAGGAAGAAGAAGAGCGAACTTGTTGCTGCAGTTTGTGGGGGTTGTACTGGCGAGAATTTGTTTCGCTAATAACTTTTCTTAGAATTGACCGAATTGAATAAAATTTTGAACAACAGTAGACAATTATATATAAATTATGTGTGTAAAGTTTGGTATAGGTAGCATTTGAAATGTGGACGCTATTGACGAAATTCTGTAGCGGGGGAAGGGGGGGGGAAAATTCCAAAAAATAAAATAAACTCGTCCTTTCTCGGACCTAGGAGAATCTGGATGCCAACTTTGGTTATTCTAGCTTTTATAGTTTCTGAGATCCTCGCGTTCATCCAGACGGACGGACAGACGGACGGACGGACGGACATGTCTAGATCGATTTCTCTCGTCATGCTGATCCTTCTGTATGTTACATACTTTGCACAAACCTAATATACCCTTTTTACCCTACGGGTACAGGGTATAAAAATATGATCGATTTTAGCTTTCTCGGTATTCGAACTCACGTAAAGGGTGTATAATTGCACATTTACATAGGAATTGCGTCTGTGTGAGTGTATGTATGCCTATGAGCATTTATTCGTGCCTGTGTAAACATGTGTGCAGTCAACCAAAGCACCAGCATCAACAACAGCCGCGGGCAGCGCTGCAGCAGCAAATATATTTATGGCTATAACTTCTCGTTAAGTCGGTCTATCATAGTGAAACTTGGCACACAGACACATAATAACCAACTGGGGGTATTTGCAAAATTCGAAATTCCAAGAATTACGGGAGTTAGAGAAAATCGCGATTTGCTGAGGAGGGGGGAGGAGGAGGGAGGGAAATTCCAAAATATACATTTTCTTCGTATTCACATAAGGCATCTGGGACTAAAATGGTGTTCCTAGCTCTTATAGTCTCTGAGATATAGGCGATTATACGAACGGCGTTACGGAAAAACCCCATTAGGGGGGAAGTGGGGGAAAATCAAAAAAATAAACCAAACTCGTATAGAATACACACATAAGGCATCTTTGTGCAAAATTTGGTGTCTCTATCTCTTATGGTCTCTGAGATCTAGGTGATCATACGGACGGACAGACGGATAGACAGACAAACAGGGCTAAATCGACTCGTCTTGTCATGCTGATCAATAATATATATACTTTGTGGGGTCTGCCACGCCTCCTTCTGCCTGTTAAATTTTTCAGCTCGCGCAAACCTAATATACTCTTGTACATTTCATGTACAGAGTATAACTAGAATATGTACAAAATGAATCGAAGCAAACCATCCAATTACTCTTGAATAACTCTGAATAACCGATTAACAAAATGCCAAGAAAACATATATAGTATACTCGTTCATATAAGCCAATTACTTGTGAAAATAAATGACAAGGCATAATAAATAGAGGAGAAGACACGCGTCATATTCCAGCTAAATGGCTTGTGATAAAGTAATAAGTTAATCTGAGATTTCTCACCTTTTTCAAACAAACGGCGCACGTTCTCATTTCACCATGGATATGGATGACGTATCACGAAAAACTACCACGTTTTTTAGGAATGATATACAGCTATAGTGTGTGAAAAGCTACTCTGATTCAGATCGTCGGCATGACAACGTCTGAGATGCGCCAGAATCGCCTCTTATCAGGCATTTATGCTGCCACTTATTGTATTAGCGGTTATGTGTATGTGTGTAAAAATCTTAACTATCCAATTCTGTTCATACACACAGAAATGTGTAATGTAAGAGGCGTGCGTGGTTTTTGTTAATGGCGTGGACTTGCACTACTCTCGATATTTAAAGGGCAGCATGGCTAGGCAAACTTGATAATAATTGTGCTAACAAATTTTTGTTTTTCTGTTTTTTTTATGTAAGATACTGATGTTTATGACAACAATGTAATAAAAGCTCCCCATTAAAATGAATCCACACATTTTTAAACGTGCGTTTTGATAAAACCAAGTTCCATTCATTTGCACGTCTCATTCTTCAAGTAACATTCAAAGTGTGCGCTACGGAATAGAACAGAAGAGAAGTAGAAGACCCCGGCCTAGTAGAAGCTTTTGCGGCGCGCTCTTCAATTAAAAATCGCATATTTCAATTAATTGAGCAACAATTTGCCAATGAACTTCAATTAAAAGTGGAAATTGTGAATTTTCTTACAACATACTCGTACAATTACAACCTACTGCCGTTTATAAAACATTCATCATGATTGAAAATAACAATCAAAGTAGTGATAGTAAAACAAAAGGTAAGGATAGCAGGAGACAAATGTGAGAAAGTGAATTCATGGTGCTTTGAAAGAGTCTGCTTAAGAATAAAGGACCAAGTTTTGTATATACAGCCCCCTGTGTGTGTTTATTTGAAGTAAATACTTGCGTTGCAATAACAAGATTTTCGACTAATTATCATTATACAAAGACTGATCCGACTCAATTTATTCACATCCAACAAAAACAGTGGCTTACCATGCAATAACTCTATCACGTCTATAGCACTTTAATGAAAAAAGATTCACGAGAAAGTGGATCCGTCAAAAAAAAAAAATTCTCTAAGCCATACCAAATACAGCCAAAATACATTCTTGAACAGAAATAACTAAAATTCTGTGTGTAGTGATTTTTTTACGATGCACATTTGTGAAGTGATATACGTGTAATATCCTTTTCTCTGTTTGCTCTACTTGATAGAGACCGATGCAGTAGACAGTAGTGCTCCCGTAGATTTTGAAAGAGCCATCGAAGCTGCGGGCTTTGGACTTTTCAATGTCATCCTTCTGCTGGTGAGCATACCGGCGGCGTTTGCCAGTACGTTTGAGTCCTCGACCATGTCCTTCATCCTGCCCGTTGCCGAATGCGATCTTCACCTGACACTCACCGACAAGGGCGTTTTAAATGCTGTCGCCTATGGCGGCATGACTGTCTCGGCAATTGCTTGGGGCTACTTGGCCGACACGAAGGGACGAAGGAAGGTCCTCATGTATGGATTTTTGGTTGACGCTTTTTGTGTGTTTGGCAGCGCGATAAGTCAGAACTTTGCGATGTTGGTCATATTTAAGTTTCTGGGAGGATTGGTGTAAGTACATTCCTACATTGTGAAACGTTACGAGTTTACAGCGAAAATGCACCTCAAATTATTTGCAGGATCAATGGACCAGCAGCAGTGCTCTACACCTATTTAACGGAACTGCACGGCGCCAAGCACAGATCTCAGGTACTGCTGGTACTGGGTATGGTAATGTCGGCTGCTCAGTTGGCGCTACCTCTGCTGGCTTGGGGCATTTTTCCGAGAGAATGGGACTTTGAGATATTTGGTTTTCTAAATAGTGGGTGGATTGGTTGGTAAACTTATAGATCACGTCACTGAGCAAGCTCCTATTTTCACAGTTCATAGCTGGCACGTTTTTCTGTTTGTCTGTGGAGTGCCGAGTCTAATAAGCGGCCTTATACTGTCTATATTACCCGAGAGTCCAAGATTCCTTATGAGCCAGGGTCGTAATGCGGAGGCCTTGCAGGCACTGCAAAAAATTTACGTATACAATACACGTTTACCCAAGGAGACGTATCCGGTATGTAGTTAAAATTGTAGTTAAATCGTAAGCGCAACATCGCATTACCACCTCCTCTGTGTGGTCGAATATTGTTAGGTCAAGGAACTGGTTGAAGAGGTACCCAGTCGCGATGCGAACAAAGACGAGGTAATCTATACTATTGAGGCGAAAGCCGGGCATAAGAAGCCGCACTCGCGCACCTTCACCGAAAGCCTGCGATCTGGAATGAAGCAGGTGAAGCCAATGTTTCAAAAACCCCTCCTGGGTCTTTCCCTGCACTGCTACACCATGCAGTTCTGTATCTTGCTGAGCATGAACACGATTCGGCTCTGGCTGCCCCAGCTGTTCGCCTCCATGGCCGAGTACGAGGCGTTCCATGCAAACGATGGGGAAAAAGTATCGGCAGACATATGCACAATCTTGGAGTATAGCATCAACAGAACGGCTGAGACAGCAACGGATTACGAGAGTGTTTGCTTAGAGGTGAGTGGGGGCGAGGTTTGTCTGACGATAGCTGTTATCTTACAATTAGACAGTGCCTATCTCTGATGTGATTTGCAGACTCATGCTCACACTTTATCTATCATTTGGTTGCCTTCTTACAGCCCAAGCCAATTTCCATGGACATGTACACGAATAACATTATAATCTCAGCTGTTGGATTCGTTAGCTACTTCTTCGCAGGTGGCTTGATGCGTGCTTTGGGTGGCAAGCGGTTGCTAGGTAAGTAAACGGTATCTCGATGTAAAAACCGTATCCCAAAGGCGCAGGCCCGATCCGAAAACCCACTTGGCTGTGTTATCGCCACCTATACGAGCTTCCGCTCACCATCCCGGCCGTTTATTTATGTGTGTTTGTATATAATGTTAAATCTTACTTTCGTACTTTCACAGTCTATGGCCTTTTTATATCGGGCATCTTGGGAATGATACTGTATTGGTCCGTTAACAGTCTTATGACGCTCATTGTGTCGGCGGCCTTCATTACAGTGTCGGGCATTGCCACCGTATCTTTGCTGGGAGCCGTCGTTGCCTTATTTCCCACATCTTTGCGGTAATACCACAATCCACTTCCCTTATCATATATAGTCCTGTTCTGACAATTCGTTCAAATCCATTCGCTCTTACAGTTCGCTGGTAGTTGCCATTGCCATGATGTGTGGCAGATTTGGTGCCCTGTCCGGTAACCTACTCTTCCCCATTTTCATACAAATCGGATGCATACCGCCCTTCCTGATGGTAGCATTGGTAATGCTGTGTAAGTTGCTCTTATATAACTCTATTTTGAACTGCTGACGTCAAATTGCTTCTCCTTTTCAGTTGCTGCTATGCTAGCCATATTCGTGCCAAATCCCAATAAGACAGAGTTCTCTTAGTTCAGATCATGATTCATCTTATATTTATGCATTCATTACTATCAATTGGAGGCATCGTTAAAAGTTACTTGTTGTTATAGCACTTAGTTGTGCACTTAAGCATTGGGGCAAACAAATAGCGTCTGCTTCTTCAAGCGTTCCAAACATAGGCATATTTACTTACACCATGAAAGGTTCCGTGAAGTTTGGTTGGACAAGGTATATTGAAATGAATCAGTAAAGTGCAATCTACTTATATATATTTTTTTTTTGCTATTAATATGCAACGTAGGTATTAAAATATATTCCCTAAAAACAACGATGAAATTCCAAAAATTTTATAAAATTGTATCTCAAGTAGTTTATAAAGAATCTAAGTAGAGCAAAGCTACAAAGAAATTATCTTGTCTTCAGATTAGACAATTTAGAATATTTAATGTTTAATGGTCCTACTATTTGTAAGTAGAATTTGTATATTTGAATATTTTATCGATATTTATTTTGTGTGATAGGTGATTGAAATTACTCGTGTAAACTAAATAAATTGTAATATTTAAATTGAAAATCTGAATAAATACCGTGAAAATGGGATTTTCTTTAATAACTATATATCCTTCATTATCTACAACTTCAATTTTCCCATGATAATATAATTTCTTTCGTGTGTGTACTACCAACAATATCTTCTTCGGCCAATATCTGATGCTGCATCGCCAAGTATGACAACAACCCTCACAATATCCCCCTCGAGTCCAATAGCATTATCTAGCCCAACAAAATGGGCATTTCACTGACTGTTTTCTTTGCTAATATGTATATGTATGCATAACACAGTGTCGTGCTATCACTTTTAAGTCGTTGTGCGAATTAATAGATCTTATTAAATGTTAGCTGGCTGCCAACCACGGCAGATGTATTACGTATTGAAATCTTTTTGTTAGAGGTATAGAACAACAACAGTTTAGCAGGGCAAGTCAAATGCGTGGACTTGGCGTTGCAAAAGAGCCCTAAGCAGAGCTTTTTGATGCGGAAACTTTTGAGACAACAAAAATGAACAGTCGTAAAAAAAGACAAAATTAAAAAAGAAAGTGCGATGCACTTAGACAAGAGCACATGCGACGGCCGCCACTGAATGACCGCCAGTTGCTGCAAGCACGCCCACAACGTTTATTAATGCATTGAGAGGCGTAAACTAAGGCGGGCGTCTGTTTGATCCTTGTCGCCTGTGTCAATATTGCCTACCAAGGCAGAAACAGCATAAGTAGCGGAATTTAGTCTGATGAACAGGGGTGGACAACGGTTGCGGGTGGGCAGCAGCTTCAATATTTTAGGTACGAAGGCATTTAATGCCCTGTATCTGTAGTTTAAAATTATATATGCGGGCGGAATACAAGACAATAGTATGGTCAATTGCATACAAATTGGGAGGTGATTTTTGAAATTAGTATCAAACACTTCTATTGGTGCAACGCACTGTATTGTTTGGGAACATTTCGATAGGAAGTACCTACTATATTGTGGCTCTATCTTCCGTTGGCGTTTGCAGATGTACGTGTCGAGTTTTAGAAATGCGTATGCATTCGAAGTACAAATTGGTAGGAATTGCACGACGGGTGGCCATTGTAGCCGCCTACGCCCCCACAGCAACTAATAGGCCTGATAAAACATCCTCGAACTCGGTAACATAGTGTTCCAAGGAAAAGTGGAGAGCATGAGTACGAGACCCACCCTAAAACGCACATTGTATATCAATAGAGACTATGATCGACAAAACAAGTAAGAAAATAAATTGAAATACTCTGAACTCATGTACGTGTAGTTAACATTTTTTTAAATAAATTTTACGTCCTTTAATATAAAACAAGAGAAAACGCTACAGTCGAACAATTCCGACAATGAAATACCCTGTACCCAGACAAACTTCCGTCACTGAGTTATATGGGTTTGGTGGGGTTGTACTGTAGAGAATTTGTTTCGCTAATAACTTTTCTTAGAATTAACCGATTTATATGAAATTTGAAACAAAAGTAGAATTATGTATAAATTATTATGTATAAATTATGTGTGCAAAGTTTGGTTAATGTATCTTTTGGAATGTGGACGGTATTGACGAAATTCTATAGCGGGGGAAGGGGGGAAAATTAAAAATAAAAAAACTCGTCCTTTCTCGGACATAGGAGAATCTGGATACCAACAATCTATCTCTTAAAGTTTCTGACATCCAGGTGTTCATACGGACGGACGGAGAGACAGACATAGAGACAGAAAATATACATACATATATTCGATCTTTTTATTTAAACATTTGGTCAATCTCTGTGACTCAACCACTCAATTCTGGGAGTATATCGTTATATTATTATGTGAATTTGTCGTCCAAGAAAACTAAAATGCTATTGCTACTAGGCTAAAAACTCGCATACTTCTTGCACAACACTTCATAACGGCATAACTGACGTTTGCCAAAGAGTTTCTGGCTTAGGTTTGCATCAAACCACAAAAATGATTAGCCCTACATTTGCACAGGCTTAAAAATCCGTTTTAAATTAGTCACCACAACTGCAAGAGGCACGAAAATCTGCCACCGAAAGGCTTGATTGCCTGATTCCAAAGTGTGTCTCACCTCCAACGCTGCAGCAGGATGGGAGGATGTTTGAATGTATCGCCAAAGAGCGCAGATGCAGAGAGTGCTGTGGATAGCTCTGGTCGTACTCCGTACGAGGACTATAAAAGCTTAGGATGCTCTGCAAGTGGTTGCATTTGCAAACGCAGTCTCGAAGTGTTCACACGCAGTTTAAAATCGAACGGGACGCGTGGCGCATTAAAGTTGGCGAATACAAAAAAAAATAAATTTAAGCAACATATCACTCATCATTTCGTTCTTCAACTTAAATTTTGTCTTATCTGTTAAATTAAAATCCCGATAGAAAGCATCATCATTACACATAGTTCCCAGATTAATACATACTGCGGATTATTGATTACTTGTAAGTAATGTAGGAACGCGAAAGCAATTGTGTGATAGTTCTGATTTCGTGCAATGCATTAAAAGTGACTTTATGTATAGAGTCTACGGTTATGAATGAGAATCGAATTTTGAGTTGTCACACAAAATATTAATAGCACCAAGTGGAATACCCTAATTCTGTTTTTACACGGTTTTGATTGAATACGGTTTGAAAATTAAAAATTGTATATATTATTGCACGACTTTATTATATATATTTAGCACGATTCAAAATAACATATGATCAATGTCTTTTTTTACACGGTTTTTTTATACACGAGTTCTTTGTATGGTTTTTATTACTACTTAGCACAATTCCTGAAGGACAATTTCCGTTTAAAGCAGGCCATTTATAGTAAAATTTGTTGCCCAAAATAGTTGTGCTCGGTGCTCGGGTTCAATTTGAGTGTTTGACGTATTATTCGGAAAGAATAGAAAAGTTTCTATCTTGCGGTTGTTCGTGCAAATATGTTCGAAAGTGGATCGAAGTGTTGCCCGAGCATTATTTGTAAAAAATATTTGGAAATACAGACGAGCTAAATGAGCAAAAACAGTTTGCTCAAAATCAGTGAATGCTCTAAACTGAGTCATCATTGTGGAAAAATAGGACCAAAGTATTTAAAAATAAACATTTGCGCAATTAAGCATTGCATTTTTAATATACAAGTACTATAAAATAAAATATAAATCTTGAACGTAGTAGGGAGTCTAAAAAAGTCAAAACGAGCCCTAACTACTATTAATTGGTATGGCTTTTTTCGATAGTGAAATTTTTAATGACTTACTATTATTTCTTTTGAGGTGATTATTGCCGAAATATATTTCTACTTTTTAAAAAGGAGGTCATTGAATTACCTTTAATTTGATATCAACTTAACACAAATGCAAAAAAAAAAAAAACAATTTAAATAAGACAACTTTATAATACACGAAATATTTTTGACCATTATTAATTGGTACGGCAATATTATCTTTTTAAATAAGGCTGTAAAAAGTGAAATGTGCACATAAATTGTAAAACTAACCTTATATAAAAAACATAAGCCTTTTTCTGGGATTTTAAATGTACTTTTGGGTAAATTTTTGAGGAAAATTGAAAACTTCCAAGAAAAAAAAAAATGAAGTTGTATTGCCACAAGTTCTCTAGCAGGAGAACACACAGTTGCTACTACAATGGAATAAAAACTTGTAACAACTCATATCGGCATATGGGCTTTTCAAAACTTTTTAGGGACACAAAAAAAAGCTGCGTTTGCTTATAGCTTTACGAAACAGTGATGATTTTTATTAATTCCAAAGAGACAAAATTTGTAATTAATAAAGAAGCCTCCCATGTTCGTGATTATAGATTAATAAAACAGCAGCGTAGCTACAATTTTTGCAAAGCAAGAATTCTTGACAGAATGCCAAACTTTGGCAGTTTGATCGCAATACTTATGTCCACGGCTTCGGGTTGCATCAAACCACAAAAATGATTAGCCCTACATTTGCATAGACGTACAAATCCGTTTCAAATTAGTCCCCGCAACTGCAAGGGGCACGAACGTCTGCCACATTTGCTTGTGTCGTCAGGTTAGACCGGACACTTAGCATCCGAAAGCCTTGATTGCCTTATTCCAAAGGGTGCTTCACCTCCTGATTTAAAGCCTAAGCTTGGTTATTTTTGATTTTCATAGCATACCATATAGAAACAGCAGCGTAGATAAAATTTTTGCGAAGCAAGAATTTGATGACAGAACGCCAAACTTTGGCAGTTGGCACGCAATACTTATGTAAATGGCTTCGGTTTGTAACAAACCACAAAAATGATTAGCCCTATATTTGCACAGACGTAAAAATCCGTTTTAACTTTGCCACCGCAACAGAAAGAGACACGGAAGTCTGCCGCATTTGCAGTGTCGTCTGGTAACACCGGACACTTCCGAAAGGCTTAATTGCCTGATTTTAAAGTGTGCTTCACATCCAACCGTGAAGCAGGATGGAAGGATGCAGTCGACCAGACTGCAGAAACGAAGGATATGTATTTGAGTGCATCGCCAAATAGCGTGGTGTGGACAACTCTCTCTACTCAACTACTCTCCACGAGGACTCTAATAGCTTAGTATGCTCTTGAAATGGTTTCAGTTGCAATCTCAGGGTCGAAGTGTTCAAATGGAGTTTAAAATCGAACGAAACGCGGCGCGCGAAACCATAAGAAATCAAATTAGGCAACATGTCACCAATCATTTCGTATTTTAACTTAAGTTTAGACCCATCTGTTAAATTAAAACCTTGATAGAATGCAATACCGTCATTTATGTTCAGATTTGCCATAGTTTCAAGATGTTGTCGCTAATATAGCCAGCTTATTACCAACTTATCAGCAATAACATCCAAAAGCCCCTACAACAAGAAGGGTTATGGATTAAGTAATGTGAAATCGCAAAAGCCATTTTATAGTGCTTCTGCATTGAAAGTGACTTTATGTATAGAGCTTATGACTATGAATGAGAATCGAATTTTATATTTTTAACACCAACAGAAAACATTACGCCAAAGCTGCAAAAGTACTTAGAAACTCTACA